AAGCTGCCTGTGATGGTTTATATCTACGGAGGTGCCTTTCTCCTTGGAGGAAGCCAGGGAGCCAATTTTCTGGACAACTACCTGTACGATGGGGAGGAGATCGCCGTGCGGGGCAACGTCATCGTGGTGACCATCAACTACCGCGTGGGGCCGCTGGGCTTCCTGAGCACCGGGGACGCAAACCTGCCAGGTAGCCCGGCCGATCCCGCCCTGGGGCTCTGTCCCGAGCGCTCAGCTTGACAGCTCGGCTGTGCCCCTGCTCACTGCCGGCTGATCTCTGTCCCTCAGGGAACTACGGGCTCAAGGACCAGCACATGGCCATTGCCTGGGTGAAGAGGAACATCAAGGCCTTTGGGGGTGACCCGGACAACATCACCATCTTTGGCGAGTCGGCCGGTGCCGCCAGTGTCTCCCTGCAGGTGAATGCTCCTCCTTGGTTCTGATCAGAGCCCCTGCCCTGTCAGTGGGAGAGAGGGACCCCTTGGCACTCACCTGCTTTCCTCCCCACCTGCTGCCTCATTACCGTCCTGCCCTGGCCAGCACAGCAATGCTCAGCCTCAGTGCTCTGTAGCTGCTCCTCCTTCTTCAGCTTCAGCAGTCCCACCAGTGCAGCTGTGTGAAGCTGGGATGATGCCAGTGGGGATGGAGGGAGGAGACTGCAGGTCATCCACTCATTTCTGCCAGGCAGAATTCCTATTGCTTCTCCCAGTGTCGAACACTCTGCATGGTCATGCATTAAACTGCATTCCCAAGCTGCCCTGATAAAACTGAGCTTCTGTGTCTCCTTTTTCCCCAGCGATCCCAACAAAGGGCATTCAGACGAGCTTTCTGATAGAGGGGGCAATGAAATGGAGACAGAAATTCTGGACTATGTGTGAACTTGATGAGCAATCTGGCTGCTGTTGGATCAAATCAACTTTAAGACTTGCTGCCATTTTGAATCTTTTACATTCCCCAGTGTGTTATGAATGCAAGCTTCTCATGGGTTGCTGATAACATGTTCTACTGCACAGCTTAATATGATTTCAGCCCCCTTTGCTTGGATGAGGCTTCTCAAGACTCCAATGGGATTCATTTCTCTGGAGTTTTCTGGGACTGAGCCATTTCCTTTGGTTTGGCCTCCAGCCCAATCAAGCAGCACCTGCAGGGCTCTCACACGGCCATGATCATCGGCCAGGGACAGGCCTCAACTCAGGCATCACACCTGCACCTTGCCTTCCCCATGCCTTGGCTGTCCAGAGCTTGTTCAAAAGGGAAACTCTCCCAGTTTGTCACTCCCTCATACCAGGCACAGTGGCAGGAGAGGCTTTGCAGAGGCTTTGCTGCCACTGCACTGCACTCAGAGGGGAAAGGATGGATGAGCAGACACCTTGCAACCAGAAAATGGAGCTGATGCCGTGGTGTTCCCTCTTTCCTTTCAGGAACTCTGAAGGCAAAAGAATTCAAAAAACGTTGCATGCAGGTGAAGCTGACACAGAATAATGTCCGTGGGAGCGAGGACTGTCTCTACCTGAACATCTGGGTCCCTCAAGGGAGAAGAGAGGGTACGAGCTTGGCAGGGACCTGGGATGGACTTTCCCATCTGCCTTGTGTGCACAGCTTGTGCCGCAGCCTCTCTCAGCAGTTCTGCTCCATAGTGGGCAGGTGCTGAGCAGGGATTTTCAGGGGCAAGGGTGGGAACTGTCTCAGACAATGTCCTACCTCACCTTCACCCCACTGGGAGGGTCAGCCTCTTGAGCAGAGCATCAAGAGCAAATGCTCCTGCAGAGCATCAAGTCAGCTCCTGCCCAGGGCAGGTGGAGCAATGCTCAAGGAGGGGGTGAGGGATGGAGGGGCAGCACCCTCCCAGCTCAGTGGAGCTCACTCTGCCCTTGTTCCTCTCCTCCCAGTCTCCACCAAGCTGCCTGTGATGGTTTATATCTACGGCGGTGCCTTCCTGGTGGGAGGCGGCCAGGGAGCCAATTTTCTGGACAACTACCTGTACGATGGGGAGGAGATCGCCGTGCGGGGCAACGTCATCGTGGTGACCATCAACTACCGCGTGGGGCCGCTGGGCTTCCTGAGCACCGGGGACGCAAACCTGCCAGGTAGCCCGGCCGATCCCGCCCTGGGGCTCTGTCCCGAGCGCTCAGCTTGACAGCTCGGCTGTGCCCCTGCTCACTGCCGGCTGATCTCTGTCCCTCAGGGAACTACGGGCTCAAGGACCAGCACATGGCCATTGCCTGGGTGAAGAGGAACATCAAGGCCTTTGGGGGTGACCCGGACAACATCACCATCTTTGGCGAGTCGGCCGGTGCCGCCAGTGTCTCCCTGCAGGTGAATGCTCCTCCTTGGTTCTGATCAGAGCCCCTGCCCTGTCAGTGGGAGAGAGGGACCCCTTGGCACTCACCTGCTTTCCTCCCCACCTGCTGCCTCATTACCGTCCTGCCCTGGCCAGCACAGCAATGCTCAGCCTCAGTGCTCTGTAGCTGCTCCTCCTTCTTCAGCTTCAGCAGTCCCACCAGTGCAGCCACGTGTCCTGTGAAGAGACAGCCTTTACCTTCCATGTCCCACTCCTCTGCTCCTCTTCTCAACATCTCACTTTTTACTTTAACTCCTGAGACTCTTGAACACCTCATAACCTGGAAGCTTCCCTGGGACTGGTGCAAGACCCACAAGACCATTCACCTGTTTTGTCAGGCCATGGTCTCCTCAAGAGTTTGTACCCAAACCCCTCTTGTTTGTGCTTTGCCCCCCAGACACTGTCCCCAAAGAACAAGGGCCTGTTCAAGAGAGCCATCAGCCAGAGCGGTGTTGGGCTCTGCAGCTGGGCCATCCAGAGGGACCCGCTCCTCTGGGCCAAAAAGGTAACGTGCAAAGTCATGCCTACAAAGCTATAAAAAGAAAAAAACCAATTTCCTAGAGGAGAGCCTGGCTAGGATGGGATTGGGCAGGAGATGTGCCCAACAGTGCTGTGGAAAGCTGCTGCTTTGAGATTAAGAACAACCCACAGTTCTGCCTCTGTAAAAATAACCCCTGCCTTTGGGAGCTAATGCTAGGATGTTTCTCTCTTCTGCCACAGCTTGGAGAAAAGGTGGGCTGCTCCACAGACAACACCACCGTCTTGGCCAACTGCCTGCGCCACGCTGATCCCAAGGAGTTGACCCTGTCCTACCACCTGCAGCTCACCCACCTGCCCAGTAAGCACCCCAGCCCATGATGTGGTCCCTCAACCATCCTGAGCTCCCCAAGCTCTTGGCAGGACTCTGGAGTAACTGCCAGGAGTGTTGAGGTGGTGCTTGTGCCCTTCAGTAAAGGGACATTAATGAGAGCTCTTGCAGTCACCTTTCTGTGGGCAGATGCACACTGCACCTGATGAACACTGCCCACCGTGCAATGGCAGCAGTGGCAGAGGGATTATCCAATGGCACTGCCTTGGCCTCACAACAACTGTTTGGGCTTCCTGTTCTGTGAAAGCAGCAAGAGCAATCCCAAAAAACAGCTTGTAAACAAACAAACGAACAAAAAAGATCATACCCCTGCTATTTTTATTTGAGTCGCTGGGTGGAGTGCAGGAACGCTGCTGCTTTTGTGCCTGTGGGGATTCCTTTCCCAAGAAGATTCTCCTGGAGCTTCTGGTCACAAACCAGTGTTTAGCCAGGGAGTGGCCAAAACACTGCCGAGCAACTGCATACTCTGGTCTGGCTGTCCTGACACTCAGACAGCTTGGCCAGGTGGGATGAGAAGTCCAGCTCTTTCTTATCTTTGGCTGGGTTCTTGGGAAGGGATTTGAAGAAGGAGAGGATTTGTGGATATTACCAGGTGCTGTTTGCCTGGCAGATCTCTTGCTCTTCTCCTTCAACCATAGTCATGAGGTTTACCCGGCATGTGGGTGACCTCCTGTCCATGCTGAAGTCACTGCTCAAGCTGTCATCCACTTGGGCCTGTTCTTTACCGAGCTCTTTGGGTCATGGGATATGCCAGAGCACACATCTGTGTTTCCTCACCTCCTAACAGACCCCACTCTTGTCTCTTGCAGTGCCCATGGTGCACACTGGCAGGAGGTCGTGAAGAAGACAGTGGTGGATCTGGCCACTGACTACATCTTCCTGATTCCAACACAGGTGGCACTGGACCTGCACCTGCAGAATGCCAAGTGAGCAGCTCAGCCCTAGGGTTGTTGTACATGGAGGAGGGTTAGGGTGAGAATTGGAAACGGAAGTTAAAAATGTTTAAAATTTGTTTCAGGATGTTTTCTCCTGAAACCACCCCATTTGAGATGATGCATGTGAGCATCTTCCAATTCTGAACCCGTGGCCCTGATGGTATTTGGAGTGTTGGTTGGGATTTGCAGCCCTTTTTCTGCTTTCTCCCTGCTCAAAGCCAGTCTCTTTGATTTCCCAGGAGTGGCAAGACCTACAGCTACTTGTTCTCGGAGCCGTCCCGCATGCCCATCTACCCCCGCTGGGTTGGGGCAGACCATGCTGATGACCTGCAGTTACGTGTTTGGGAAGCCCTTTGCCACCCCTCTGGGCTACAAGCCCAAGCACAGGACTGTCTCAAAGACCATGATTGCTTACTGGACCAATTTTGCCAGGACCGGGTGAGTGATCTCCATTCCATATTTGGGGCTTGATGCAGCCATTCAGGCTGCTGGTTTTGTCCAGAAAGTTTTCAGGATCATTCAGAAAATCAGAGTGCTCAATGTCTGCATTTCTTATTCCTGAATCTTGATGTTCATACAGAAGATAAGTCCCTGTGTGAAGCTGGGATGATGCCAGTGGGGACGGAGGGAGAGAGTGCAGGTCATCCACTCATTCCTGGCAGGCAGAATTCCTATTGCTTCTCCCACTGTTTGATTCTCTCTTTTCCTCTCACTTAAAGCCTGACTTGAGCAGACAGGGTTCCTACCAAAATCTGCAAAACTGAGCTTCTGTGTCTCCTTTTATTCCCAGTGATCCCAACAAAGGGCATTCAGATGTGCCCGTTTCCTGGCCAGCCTACACCAACAATGGCAAGTTCTACCTGGATATCAACCACAAGATGAGCAAGAGCTCTGTGAAGCAGGACCTGAGGTCCCGCTTTGTGACCTTCTGGAACTCGGTCTACCTGAAGCTGCCGCAGGTTGCCGACATCTCCCAGTCGGAGTTAATGTTCTGAAGCTAAGAAAAAACCCATCTTTTAGAGATCATTAAAGGCTTGCTTGTAGCTGAGTGGCTCTGTTTCTCTGTTTTCTGTTCCTCTGTGGTGGCTGGCAGAAAACCCTCCAGCACTCAGGAATGATCTGTATGAAATGTGTTGGAAAGGCTTCACCCTCTGCGTTTGCCCCTTGGAGCTGCTGCAGGGGCAAAGCAAGAGGGAACTGCAGGTACCCACTCAATCTGGAAATTTCTTTTCTTTTGAAAAGTGCCGGTGAAGGCCAACAGTGAGAAAATGAAAAACCACCTCGCTAATGTCAAGGTCAGGCGGGATGGAACATCCTGAGGGCAGCGCGCGTTCCCCTGGCTGTGACAGTCAGTGCTGGCCAAGCTGTCCTTGTGGCAAATTACATTCTCACCGTCACCTTCATATCCCTTATCTGCCGCCTTTTGTGGCATTAAACATTGCTGAGATGAAGGCTGAAGTTCTTAGGAAGCAAAAGCTTGTTTCAATGAGAATTAACACCACATTCCTTGCGTGATCAGAGAAACGTACGTCTGCACGCCAGCATTTGCTCAGCTCAGGATTGTTTCCCCTCATTATCCAGGCAGGACAGGGACAAAACAACCCGCGGGGGAGGTGATTGTGTATGTGTTTGTGCCCACAAGCTGGGCTGAGGAGCCCCAGGTACAACAGGACGAGCTCAGGCCGCCCTCAGGCCTCGCCATCCCCACAGGCCCAGCCCGGGCCGGCCGCCCTCGGAACCTTCGTGCGGCGGAACCTTCGCGGCGCGGCCCGCGGGGCGGCGCCGGGCGGGAGCGGCGCGGCAGCGATGGCGGCGGCGCGGCAGCGGGGCCCGCGGGGCTCGGCCGTGCTGGAGCTGCCCCGCAACCCGCGCCTGGTCTGCGTGGAGTACCCGGGGCTCGTCCGCGATGTCGGGGCCATGCTGAGGACGCTGGGAGGAGAGCAGGGGGTGTCGCGGGTGAGGGGGGCCCGGCGGGTGTGGGGGCTCGCTGGGCAGAGGGTGAGGGGCAGGAGGCCCTGGGCAAGGGGGATGGGGCGGGGATGGGCAGAGCCTGCCCGTGGGACTTTCTGTGTGAGTCGTTCCAGCCCAGCGTGGCCCCACGCGGGGCCCGTGGGAGGTTTGGGGGTGATGCCGCTGCCCTGCTGTCCCCCAGCAGGGATTCAGGCGGTGTGCAGTAAAGTTATGGAATCGTAGAACTGGGTTGAAATGGACCATAAAGTTCATTCAATTCCAGCTGCTTGCTGTGGGCAGGGGGCATCTTCCCCTAGACCAGCTTGCTCCAGCCTGTCCTTCCAGAGATGGAGCAGCCTGTGCCAGAGCCTCCCCACCCTCACAGGGAAGAATTTCTTCCTCACATCCAGACTATTATATTTTAAATTTATTTTTCCTGATACCCAGGCTGCGAGTGGCTGCACACCCCTGTGACGTGGGGCAGGGATGATCCCCCTGGGGCTGTGTGAGGGGAGCAGCGTGTGGGGCTGGCACAGGGGCAGGGGCTGTGTGGGTGGCATGCTGACAGGGGCTGTGCCCCCCTTGCTGACAGATCTACGCCGACCCTGCCAAAAGGCTGGAGCTGTATTTCCGCCCCAAGGACCCCTACTGCCACCCCGTGTGTGCCAACCGCTTCCCCACCTCCACCATGCTGCTCAGGGTCAGCAGGAGGACCAGGAGGAGGCAGCAGCTGGACCCCGAGGAACAAAGCCAGCCAGAAGTCCAGTTTGAGATGGAGATTCTGGGGATTGTCACCACTGTTTACAAGTTTCAAGGTAACCTTTGGGATTGTGTGCAGGTGGCTTGCAGGTGAGTGTGAAGGGTTTCCCTTAAGCAGTTGAGGACTGGAAGGAAAATCAAGTGCTGTTGCAGCCTCCTTGCTGGAGAAACCTTTGCATAAACTTGTCAGACTCCTGCTCCTGAAAGCTGAGTGTGAGAAGAATTGCTGGATTCACAGCAAACTTCACAATGTTTTAACTTCTGTTTCTTACAGGAATGTCTGACTTCCAGTACCTGGCAATGCACTCTGGCCCTGATGGCAAACAAACCTCCATGTACGACAAAGTCCTGATGCTCAAACCAGAGAAGGAAGAGTTTTTCAATAGGGATTTACCTCTTTACATCCCACCACCCATTTTCTCACGTCTGGACACTCCTGTGGACTATTTTTATCGCCCAGATATACAGCACAGGTCAGTGCCTTTCCTCATGATACATCTTCCATGTGCTTCACCCTTTTAATTTGCTGCCTTGTGCTGATTTGGCACAGCAGAGGCAAAAAAATACCACCAGCAGCTGCCTGGCAGTGGCAACCCCAGCAAAATTCCACTTGAGGGTTTGCCAGGTGAGGGGAGCTGGGCATGAGGTGGAGATGATGGAGTCCCAGGTCACCTCACACATGGTGGGATGCAGGACACAGCTCCTGCCTGCAGGACCAAGGGCAGGGTTTGCAAGGATCAATGCCATGTGTTCCTGTGCTCTCCTAACCCCAACTGGCTGTGCCAGAAGAACAATCTGGGAGATCTCCCACAAGAAACATCTTTCATTTTCTCACTGTTGGCCTTCACCGGCACTTTTCAAAAGAAAAGAAATTTCCAGATTGAGTGGGTGCCTGCAGTTCCCTCTTGCTTTGCCCCTGCAGCAGCTCCAAGAGGGCAAACGCAGAGGGTGAAGCCTTTCCAACACATTTCATACAGATCATTCCTGAGTGTTGGAAGGTTTTCTGCCAGCCAGGGCAGAGCTCCTCTGTCAGTGCAAAAATGGATGTAGTTTAGGAGTTTTGAAATTTATTTAAATTTAAATTTACTTCCTTCAGTGGTGCCATGAGAGTCTTTTATGGTACCAGTATGTGATCAAGGGAACCAAAGTTAAAGCAACCCATTGCTCACCCAGCTGAGTCCCTTTTGTGTTTCCCTGTTCCTTAGGGAGGGATACAACAACCCCCAGGTGTCTGGTGAGAACCTGATTGGCCTCAGCAGGGCCCGGCGCCCACACAATGCCATCTTTGTCAACTTTGATGATGAAGAAGTCCCAACTAAACCCCTGGATGCTGCTGTACAGAACTGGAAGAAAGTGTGCACCAACCCTGTGGATAAAAAGGTGGAGGAAGAGCTGAGAAAGGTGTGTGCCTTACTGCTGGTCTGAGCACTGTCCTGCAGCAAGCTGCGGAGGGAAAACTGCATTTTTCCCAGAAATTCTTGGTGATTGTAAGTGCCTGGTACAGGTGTGAGTAGATGCTGGTGACACTGCTGTGATCATTTCAGTTCTGCAAGTCAAGCTTTGAATCTGTGGCTTAACTCACATTAACATCAAGCCCCTTTTTGTGCCACGACTTCTCCCCTCACCATCCAATAGCTCCTCTTGAGGGCCAAAGGCCCCGATATGGACCTGAGTCCACTTGGCAAGCTGCTGTGCCTTTGGGAGCCCCTTCCCACTGCTGTGTGCCTGTCTGTGTGTCACAGTGTGCTGTCTGTGTGTCACAGTGTGCCTGTCTGTGTGTCATTGCAGCTCTTTGAAGTGCGTCCCGTGTGGTCTCGCAATGCAGTCAAAGCCAACATCAGCGTCCATCCAGACAAGCTGAAGGTGCTGCTGCCCTATTTGGCCTATTACATGGTGAGTGGTACATCTGTGAGCAAGGGGGCATCACCTGCCTCTTCCTGGTCCTTTACCACTTCTCAGGTCCTGCCACTAAGTACCTGAGCTTAATTTAATGTAAAGAGACAGGGGGAAGGAAATGCTTTAGAACCAAAGTTGAAGGCAAGGAGGATTCAGTGACTGTTGGCTCCATGGGTTACAACCATCTCTGCAGTTCAGGCAGGCACTCCAAGTGACTGCTATGTACCTGAGACAGGGGGAAGGAAATGCTTTAGAACCAAAGTTGAAGGCAAGGAGGATTCAGTGACTGTTGGCTCCATGGGTTACAACCATCTCTGCAGTTCAGGCAGGCACTCCAAGTGACTGCTATGTACCTGAGACAGGGGGAAGGAAATGCTTTAGAACCAAAGTTGAAGGCAAGGAGGATTCAGTGACTGTTGGCTCCATGGGTTACAACCATCTCTGCAGTTCAGGCAGGCACTCCAAGTGACTGCTATGTACCTGAGACAGGGGGAAGGAAATGCTTTAGAACCAAAGTTGAAGCCAAGGAGGATTCAGTGACTGTTTGCTGCATGGGTTCCAACCACCTCTGCAGGTCAGGCAGGCACTCCAAGTGACTGTTCACCTGGCAGTGGTAGCAGAGTTTTTCCACACAAGCACTTGGCTGTGACCTTGCAGATTGGTTTGTAAACCAATCTGCACACAAAGCACAGAAATATTTGTGCTTTGATTGCCAAGTGTATGAATGTATTTTGGTGTATAAATACTGGCATGGCAAGTGAGCAAAGAGCTGGTAAAACAATTATCTTTGGGCAGTGAGGGAAAATATTAGAACTTTCCAAGGATATTGCTACTGAAGGAAGTTGCAACACTGTGGTGCTTTTTTGTGACCATCTTCCCTCATGTGTTTGTGCAGTTAACAGGTCCTTGGAGAAGCTTATGGGTTAGGTTTGGGTATGACCCCAGAAAACACCCTGAAGCAAAGATTTATCAAGTGCTGGACTTCCGAATTCGCTGTGGAATGAAATATGGTAAAAGGGCCCAACCCACAGAGCTGCTCTCTCTGCTTTCTGGTTAATCCTGGTAGTATTTTTCTTTTTATGTGTTTTTCAAACTCTTTTGCCATATTTCTGCTTTGATGAACATGTCACCTTTTGAGCTCCTTGCTTACTGTAATTCTTTTTAAAACTCTTGTCATACTTTCTTTCATAGTATGCAATGACTCCTTCCTCGTTTGGCACATTCTAAGTTCTGCCTTTCCTCCTCCATGTGTTCCAAGCCCAAGTGGGTGTAGCAGAGCATCCTCCTCCTCACTCAGGGGAGGCACCAAGCAGGAATTCTGGTGCTCACATAGCAGCTTTTCCTCAAGGACCTCAGCATTTCCTGCAGGATGCTGGTCTCTGACCTTGGA